TTTTTAGAGCATTTTTTTTGTTTCGTTATTTCATTACAGTGTAAGCTACAGTTCGTTTTGTTTACTGGCTTGGTTAAGTATTCTCATTGTTACTGTACCATCTCATTGATGAATGGCAGATTGTGGATGGGCCGTCATAGGGACTGTGTAGATGGCCCGTCACTAGGACTGTGTTATAGATGGCCCGTCACTTGGCACAGTAGATGGCCCGTCACTAGGGACAGTGGATGGCCCGTCATAGGGACTGTAGATGGCCCGTAATTAGAGACTGTAGATGGCCCGTCATTTGAGACTGTGGATGGCCCGCCACTAGGGACTGTGGATGGCCCGCCACAAGGGACTGTGGATGGCCCGTCACTTGGGACTGTAGATGGCCCGTAATTAGGAAATTGCCCGTAACTAGAGACCTATTAGATGGCCCGACATTAGGGACTCTGTTTTAGATGGCCCACATCAGAGACTATTGTAGATGGCCCGACACTAGATGGCCGGGCATTAAGCTACCTCCGAAAATAAACCAGAGTTCGTATTTCTATTACCTCGGCCCCATGTGTCTTGGGCACAAATAAAAAAAACATGACACAGATTCTTATAACTCTTAGGGGCTTCACTCTTGTTACATTTCGAAATTTATTCTCCTAGATGTGTTGGTGAGTCTAGTTAACGAGACTCATTTGTCTTGCGTGTGAAAAATTCTGGGACTTAAACAATCATGAGCTTCCCCACCCGACTAAGCCTAAATTTTGTTTATATACAACATTAAATTAGACTACAAAAGACTACAAGTGTGTTATAAGTTATAAGTTTACTGTAAAAATATTATAATCAATACAGTAAATAACACTATAAATAATAATGCAAACAGAGACGTTGAGATTAACAGAAGCAAGGGATAATGACCCATGCGAATTAGCATGAAAATGAGCTTGTTTAATAATTAGTTGTGTACAAACAGAAAAAAAGGCGAGAAATAAAAAAGGCGGAGCGTCCACGCAACAATATTCCCCCGGCGGTGAATAGTCGAACGCAGGAGCCATGCAATTTTAATCCGCACAGTTAGAGTAGCTCCCCTTCAGTCACCTGCCGTCTCGGCGGGCTATTTCGGGCGACACCGCCTTGTGACTTGAGAACTTCGCGGAACAGTGGTTTTGTGAGGCGGTGCACGGCATGTGGCGGGCTGCCCACACGATAATGCTGTGTGTGTGTGGGGGGGGGGGGGGGAATCTGCATTGTGCATCTAAAGGGAAAAAGGGGGGGGGGGGGGTGAGGTGAAGCTTTGGTGCATCGTGCGTGCAGTCTCGAGTTTTGAAAACGAGGTTGTCAAGAGATATTAGTATTAATGAACGCCCCCGACCTCTTTCAAACGTCCTCCTCCACTCTGTCTAATCAAGCAGTAAGAAGGACAGAGGAAGGAAAAAAACCCAAGAAGAAACTTAATGGTCTAGAGGTTGATAAAATCAGAACGAGAGATGTTAAATTCTACATCCTCTTTTTGGAACGGCGTCATCAAATAGAACGTTCGACCGTTAACCCACAAGCCTCGAGTTCGAATCATGGGTTCGATTCTGTTGGACGTCCCTGAGTGAACCCAGCTCTAAATGGGTACCTGACCACGTAATGGGATAGTAAAAGCAATTCGGCTGATCACACTATCCTTAATAAGTCGTGGCAACAGAAAAATGTGAACTCTACTACACCTACTTGATAAGCCTTTAGTTTCGAAAGGGTACTTTACTATACCCTATTTGAGCCTGTTAGTTAGAGGCATTGTTGAAACAATTGACGCCAGAGGAAGTCTCAAAATATAAAGATGTTTTCTTACGGACAGTAGATTTCCGACACCTATAAATATCAATTTTAGATTTCCGACACGAATAAATATAAATTTTAGATTTCCGAACCTATAAATATTAATCTTAGATTTCCGACACCTATAAATACATTTTTTTTTCTTTTAAACCCTAAAGAGTTGGGCACTTGTTTCTAACAAATATATAACCGGCAGTTTTTCTAAAATGATTTATTGCCCATAGATTTAATTCTTTAAATTGCAACGTTGATGCAGCAGTTACATTATCTTTCGTGGATAAAGGGATAGTTATATGACTTGAGGATTAGAGTCTCCGTATGTTATAATATGATGTTATAAGAGTTATATGAGGGAAGTGAGGGTTTAAAAATATAAATAGCTGGCGTTATACAATACTTGCACTATTCCTTATCTATGGGGTAAGGCTTAACTGAAGAAGTTTCCGGAAATATTAAATCTGTAAAAAAAAAAAAAAAAAAAAAAAATTAGAAAAAGCGTGAAGCCCCTGTGCTGATCTGTTGTTGTTGTTTAATCAGTGAACCGTGTCGAGGCAGTCAACTGTGCTCGTTTTTGGCATGCCCTCCCAGCGCGAGCAGCACATTACCGGCACCATGTGTAGAGCGGGGGCTCTACCGGCACGTGCCGTTAAGAAAGTGGACAAAATTAGGTGACGTCAAGGTGACGTTTAATGTACAGCATATGGGGAACGTAGGGCCACGCCCTGAACCCGCATCGGCGCATGCGCGAGTATGGCGTCGGAGCATGCGCAACCTGGCCCCAACACAAATCTCGATTGACTGCGCAGTTTGGGTGCTCAGGTGAAACGTAAGACAACACGACAGATTGCATGTAAAGCTGCCAAAAATATCTTTGTAGAGTTTTCACGTTTTTATTAATTAAGCAAATACAGTTTTAAAAAAATAAGCATGAGGTTCGAAAAGATGCATAAAGTCTTGTACGGACATATTTTACTGGGATAGAAGCTTGTCAAATACACTAACACGCCAACTGGCTTCACGTGGATTAAAGCTGCTGTTTAAAGCTGTTGTGTCTCAGCTAAGCAGTGAAATTTTTTTATTATGAAGCGTTTTCACCAAGAAAGGGGGGGGGGGATTTAGTAAAGATAAAAGAAAATTAAAAGTGCACTTTTAGACACTGCATAGCTGATGAAGTAGAGTTAACCTATTTATGAACATAAGAATGATCTCAATATCTGGTTACTTTTTACTTTGATCATCTAGCAGTGACGGAATAATTAGGGGGCTGAGAGAGCAGAATCCAAGGGCCTCGATTTTTAAGGCCCCACACTTTTTTTTACATACCATAGTATATTGCACTTTACAGCATAATAAGCTAATTGATTTTTACTATAAAAGAAATATTTTAATGCTTGAATCACAAGCTTATTTCATTTTTTTTCAAAATATCAGACAAGATCACACATTTTAGCATAAATACCAGCTATCAATTCCTCTTATCCAGATATTGTTTACATAAAGCCGATGTTCCCAAAAAATAACAAAGTCCAAACCAACCAACATTTATGTCAATAAAATGAGTTCGCAAGCATTCAAACAATCAGCGTTAATGCTTAACCTTAACAATCACTGCCCCCAGTAGTCGACTTATGACTGTTGTGCTATTACGTCGTGTCATTTTTCTCCTATTGTTTTTTTCTCTTCTTAATAACTATGTCGATAAAAAAAAAAAGTCGACGGACGAATATGTACAATATGGATTCACATGTATAACGAAACTTGGTTTAAATCAAGGTTCAAACTGCATAACTTTTAATGCCAAGTTGAGCGATTCAAGTCGAGCACCAGCATAACGAAAAGAAATCTTCCTATTGTAAGGTCGTGTATTTATGAATTGGTGTCTGAAAAGCAACAGCTGAAGCCATACTGATGTGTTGAAAATATTTATTATTTTGTTTTATAAAATAATACTTTTTTTTTTTTTACTTTTTTTTTACTTTAAAAACAGTGACGGTTTACTTTGTGCACCAGCAAAATATTTACCCATGCCTTGAGTTTTTAAAAATCATATTTAATTTTCCTTATAAGATGGGGTTGGTGAATGGAGATGGTGGGATTCGGTACTTCCATAAATATTCAGAACAAATGACAAAGATAATTGAGCTGGTATGACGAAATTTATGGGCGAGCTCACACTAATTACAATATAAATAGTTTGAAACAGTAAACTGTTTTGATTGACCACACAAACAGTAAACAGCTTGACCACACACACAGTAAACAGTTTGACCACACAAACAGTAAACAGATTGACCACACAAATAGTAAACAGCTTGACCACACAGTGAACAGTTTGACCATACACACAGGAAACAGATTGACCACACAAACAGTAAACAGCTTGACCACACAAACAGTAAACAGCTTGACCACACAGTGAACAGTTTGACCACACAAACAGTGACCAGCTTGACCACACAAATAGTAAACAGCTTGAGGACATGTGAGCCCCCATGAGGTGACGTGTCACTGAATACGTTTGGGAACGTGGGAGAGGACACTGTAGAGTAGATAATGTGAAGTGAAGGCGTTGGGGCGGACACAGTAGTGTGAACATGGTGGACTGGTCAAGTTGTTGTAAGATGGAGAGTGGATACGTCAGAGGAAACAAGGAATTAGACACGGTGAATCGGACACGTCAAAGTAGTCATGGGGTACAGACATGATTGGCTGGTCAAGTTTAAGTGGACATGTGGGACTGGACAAGAAGTAATAGACATAGAAGATTGAAGATTAAGTTTGGGTTTATGTTTTCTTTTTTTTTTACGATTGTGTTTGTTTTTATGTTCGGTTTGTGTTTTCTTATAAAATTTGATATTTGTGTGTTGTTAATTCCTTAATGGCGAGATTTACATTAACAAACTATGCAGTGATTACTTAATAATAATTTTTGTCAAGATACTGCTGTCTATATCATGTGAATTTAAAAAAAAATGTTTCTCTTTTGCGACACATTGTAAACATCATAATTTTTCATAGTACTTGACTGATGGTGAGAAAAATTAGTATAGATCTATTATACTAGGACGACGTCATTTCCATACATTGATTAATCTTTTGGAGAGAGATCCTAAAGCCGCGTCGGGGTGGGGGAGGGGAATATGAAGAAAACAAAATTAAAAAATTTGATAATTTTTATTAATAGTGCAACAATCGTTCAATACAGGAACGAAAATTCCAAACTATAGGAAACATGTATACATTTTTGATCACTTTATTACATCCAAATAAAAATAACTATCGAAATTTCGTGACTTTAAATATAAGATTTAGGATTCATCGTCTGTTTGAGAAGTTATTGTGGTTGTTCTGGAAACCTGAAAATTATTGATAAAATAGCACAGATACTACTAACATTGGCATGTCATGTTGTAACACATTAAAACACTAACGTGTCAATACATTATTATATACATCGTCTCTATACACTCATACATTATCTAACATATCAACTATCTTTTTTACATAGTATAAACTAATTATAACTAGCTTTAGAGGATTATTATAATTGAGTAGTATTTGATATAAAAAGTCGTGTATTATATAGAAGTTAAGAGTTTGTTGATGACTTTGATGGCAATATGTGTTTAGGTTGTCCTTATCGCAGTAGAGCGTACCTGTTTCTGTAACCTTGGCATATGAAGTTATTGTGTCGGTTACCCATCCGAGCTAGAAATATAGAGTTGTAAATTATTGAAACAGAAACTGTTATAAATTAATGCAAAAAGATGCTGCTGTTACTTAAAAAAAACAATATGGAGGTTTATCAATGTTGTGGCTAGCAGCATACGTAGAAAATAACGTCACGATATATATGTGCTAAGCAGTGGCGTAGCAAGGTCGGGTGAGGCACTTAACGGTGTCACCCCCCAGAGGCGTAGTGACAAACTTTCATGTTTTCGAATTGCACCCCCCCTCAAACTTTTGATTTACACCCCCTCAAGTTTTATCTCTATATATTTTGCTAAATGGTGTCACCCGGTCCGCACCCCCGCCACCCCCCCCCTCGCTACGTCTCTGGTGCTAATTACACAATCTGAACCTGGTATATAAATGTAAATTCTACATAGCAACATGGACGGCATGGTTGTATGTGAGAGCTAATTGCAGCTACACGTATTTGGATCCCGGCGTCTTAGTTGCCCGACTCTGATGAGCTCTAACTCATGTCAATATTTACTCTAAAGTGATTAAGCTAGTATGCAATGTGTAGTTTGTGTCCGCGATGTTCTAAAATCTCATACAAGTATATAGGGGGCCTACTACGTAGTTTACAAAATGACTGCACGACAAGATCACGACTATTGGGCGGCCGCTCGACCGCGCAGCTTAGAGAAGAACATTGCTCATGGGGTAAAATCTAAAAGCGGCTTTTCATAGTGTCGAGCAAGCTATCCCATTTTACGACAAAGTCACGAAAATGTTTGAGCTCTAATTCATATGAAACACTTATGACAGAGTACTTTATAGAGAAAAACGTCCGCGTTTGGTTCAACTCAACAACAACGATTCGTGACATATATGGTATACTTTTATTTAGTTTGACGTTCAACGTTACAGGGTCGCCCTCGCCATAACCGCTATCACTTAACTGCTGACCTCCCACATTCGTTCACTCGCCCTTTTATTCCCACATTCAACCTTGGGATTACAATACATAACACACGGGGGTTAACTACACGCTAGGGTAAACTCAACTTACACACGCACTCTCCCCTAAGTTCGAGACTATTCTAACCTATTCTAAACTTACCTCTCAGTGGCTCCTGAGTCGGCACCACACTTGCTGTAGTCACAAGTCATATCACCTTGGTCACACACGCACGTGGCACACGTTGCCTCCATGTCTATGGTCTCACCTTCATCATAATGCTTGTCACCAAAGTCGCACCCTTCGTTTTCTTCGATACAAAAGTAACAACACGAATTCACAAAAAGGCACATTTGATACTACATAAAGATAGTGATCAGACAGATACAGCGTTTTTATAGACCCTGTGTCGTAAACAATAGTAAGCATTACGGTAATATGTGTTGTCTTTTAATTTCTAAATACCATTCATATGTGATGTCTTTTAATTTCTAAATACATTTCATATTGCTAAAATTTCGATCAATAATAATAGATATAAATAAATACTTTAAGTTATAACTTTTACTTAATAAGTAATCACAATATGACTAAATATAAAAGTTTTAATTTGCAGCTGACGTATATTAGATACATTTAAAAGGTAAGGACATTAAGTCATAATATGTTTTGAATAATAAACTACTCATTTCTACATTTGTTTCTCTAAATACAGACCGGCAAGACTTACCTTCATCAGCAAATACTGACACGCTGATACATAAGATGAGAACGGCAATGTAGATTTTCATGGTTGTTGGTGTTCTGTAGAATTGAGTTAACAAATAGTAGACAGATTCACAAACGGTACTCAAGCTAAACAAATTGTCCCTAGTTTTATACCTTATATCTGCATAGATATGAAAGCAGATAATTTGCATGGTTTCTTTTCAATTTGTTTGAAACAATTGTAAGCAAGAGTGGGTTAAATTGATAATTAATTGAGCGTGTATGAGGGAAGTTAGGGGATGGAACACACTAGGGGCCTAACCACAAAATAATTTGTTTGAAACATTTGAATGTATTGATTAGCCACACAGTGAACAGCTCGTGTGGTGACGTGGCATTAGATGCGTTTGGGTACGTGGGAGTGGACACTGGTGTGGATAAAGTGGAGTTGAAACTGTGGTGTGGACACTGCATAGATTCTAAAGTGTCGGGGCTAGAGTGGATGTCAGGGGCCTGTACCCCGTCCACCTCTGCCACCTGCGCACGCAACTGTGAAGATTGGATACAGTGGAGAAGACACTGGAGTGTGGATAAAGTTGTGAGGGCACTGGATTGTGGATAAAATTGTGAGGACACTGGAGTGTGAATAAAGTGGTTAAGAAGAAGGGAGAAACCCTGGAACCCCGATATTTAGGGGCTCTAATTATCCTTTACAAAATACAGAAAATTTCACTTTACAGCATAATATGTTAATTTTTTAATCACAAACTTATATCTTAAAAAAATCATACACGTGAACACATTTTAGCATAACTACTAGCTGTCATCCCCTCCAACTCAGAAAACATCCACAGTAACATAGACGGGTCCGTCTCACCTAATATTTTTTCCTTTCTTCTTCGTCGTTTTTAATTTTAGCGTCCGAATGAATCCTACCAACACGATAAGAATTCGTGTCAACTGGTTATGCACCTTTGCGGCCATTGACATTGTTTTTAGCCTGCTTTTCTGTTTGGATTTGCTTCCATAGCCTTTGTCCAACCAAGAACAAACTACAAGGCAGCAGTTGTTTGAAATACTGCAAGTGTGACAGTTCAGATGTGGAAGGACGGACTGGCCTACATTATAATCAACGTCTATATCACTCCCAGGAACCCCATTGAATTACCAAATTACCTGCTGGACGTTGAGCCCTGCTGTACAGAGGCGTCTCATAATGGCGGGGGATATGAGCGCTTGGTCTGCCAGGTGGGGGTACAATAGGGATACTAACGCGTCTTGAAGGTATCTAGAGGGCTACCTTGATGAGACAAGTATGGTATGTGTGATGCCTGGTTTGAGAAATTTTGAATTCTGTGATCGCCGAGAAGAAAAAAAAAATAGACAGCATCGCCATTGTGTATTATGTCTAAAGAGTTCATTGGTCTTAATTGATGATCAAAAAAATAATATTGAAGGTGTTATAAAACAATTTTCATTTTTTAAAATGAAAGTTTTCATTGACGGCATGTGCTTTAAACAAAAATTCTAATTGTGCCTGAAAATTATTTATATTTAGTCCGTTGTAATTCATTATGTCACTTGATAATTTAGGAAAACACAATTACTTCAACCTTTAAAAAAGCTTCAGGGGAAAAATTTTACTTTTTATTACTTTGTTTTTTGTGTTGGGTAGAATCTAATTACATCATTAGATTAGATTGATCAAGTGCAAAATGGAATGGTATTTTAAATACTGCCTTTTATTTATTTTATACACTGAACGTACTGTTTACTAATTATTATTTTTAATCAAAGGCAGTTGACGTAAAAAAAGATATCCTTATTCGCGATCGAGAATTCCTGCAGTTTATTATGTGTCTTTTTTTTTTTTTTTTTTTTTTTTTTTTTTTTTTTTTTGCGCACGAAGGGGAATTTATTTTCAACATGTTGAACGTCGTCTTTTTACTTTCTCGTATATACGAAGTATAGAGAAAGTATTGTAATCGTGCAAAAAAATCTCTTGAAATTTAAACAATTTTCACCGTATTACACCTCAGTCCTTCATCACATCCGAAGCATAGAGGACTTATTTTAATCGGGCAAAAATTATCAATCCAGATTTATCAAAATTAAGAGGTTTTATGCGTAATCCATTCTGAAAAACTTGGCTTTGCAATTCTGTCCGTATGTCTGTGTGTCTGTCTGTCGGTCTGTCTGTCTGTGTGTCTGTCTGTGTGTAAACACGATTACTTGAGTATCGTTACAGCTAGGTTAATGAAATATCATATATAAGTATTTTATCAAAATCGTAGATCCGTATCAACTTTTGAGCGATTTCGGATAACCGGAAGTGGTACTTTTTCTACTTTGAGTACTATTTCAGATAGATAAATGAAATTTCAGATGTAAGTAAAAGATCTAATTTTCTACCTTCTGTTAAATTTTGAGTAATTTCCGTTGACCGGAAGTACTAATTTACGCTACTTCCGATTTCTCAAAAAACTAATGTAAATTTTTAAAGTACTAATAATATTGCGCACTATTATGCACTTTTTATTTGGCGTTCACTTGGTGTGCAATTCTTTTGTCTACGAGATTTTATTCTATTTTTAAAACTTTAAGTATTTAAAATTGATTAAAAATCATGTCTATAGCCCGAGTTCCCATCCCCTGTTGTTTTATATAAGAATATTCGAGAAAGTATAGGGGAGATCACTCCCGGTTTATTTTGTTGAGTATTCGTTAATGGCAAGATTTACATTAACAAACGGTGCATAGATTAATTAATAATAATTTTAGTTAAGATTCTGTGGTCCATATCACGTGATTAAAAAAAAATATTCTCTGATGCCACACGTTAACACTTTTTACACATTGTCATAATTTTTTTTTAGTTCTTGACTGATGGGGAGAAAACTATATTAGGACAGCAACACCATTTCCATGCATGGAATAATCATTTTGAGAGAGATCCTTTGGCCGCGTCGGAGAAAATAAAGAAAGCAAAATTTAAAAACTTGATTACTTTTATTAATAGTGCAACAATCCTTCAATACAGGTACGAAAACTCCAAACTATAGGATACAGTTATAAATTTTTTAATCACTTTATCACCTCCAAATGAAAATAACTCTCGAAATTTCGTGCCTTTAAATGTTGGATATAGGATTCATCGTCTGTTTGAGAAGTTAGTGTGGTATGTTATGGAAACCTGAAAAACTGTTGATAGAATAGCAGAGATAAAAACATACTAGTAACATTGGCAAATCAGTGTTTCTTCCAGGGGGGGGGGGGTAGACTTTCTTCGGGGGGGGGGGGTGGGGGGGGCGGACACTTAAAAGTATTATATTAATTTCATTTCGTTCGGGGGGGGGGAGGGGGAAGATGCCTGGAAGAAACTCTATTGGCATGTCATGTTGCAACACATTAAAGTTTTAACGTGTCAGTACATTATTTATAGAGCAAAACCGTGTATTTTATGTACCTTGTGTCGGTCGTGGTGTCCTACTTTTTACATTTGCTGAAGTCACACCTCACATCACCGTCGTCACGCATGCACTCGGCACATTCCGACCACGTGGCTACGCTCTCACCGTCATCATAAGGCTGGTCATCATAGTCACCACCTTCAGTTTCTTGAATACAAAAGTAAAAACCAAGATTTCACAAAAAGACACAGCTTACACTACATAAAGATTGTGATCAGTTTTAATAGGCACTGCCGTAAACAATAGTAAGCATTACGCTAAATATGTGTTGTCTTTCCGTTTATAAAAACCATTCGTTGTCTTTAAATTTCTCTATATTACTGATATTGCGAAAATCTCTAACAGTAGTAATAAATATAAATAAATACTTTGGATTATAACAGTTACTTAATAAATATTCACAACATAACTTACCTAAAACTAACTTGTATTAATTCAATTTAACACATATGGAAACATGGAATTAAAAGTCATAATTCACTTGAGTAAAGTACTCACATCTCAGTTTCTCTAAATACAGACCGACAAGACTTACCTTCATCAGCAAAAACAGACACGCAGATACATAAGATGAGAACGGCAACGTAAATCTTCATGGTTGTTGGTGTTCTGTAGAATTTAGTAAACAAATACTAGACAGATTCATAAACGGTACTCAAGTTAAACAAATTGTGCCTAGTTTTATATATTATTTCTGCATAGATATGAAAAAAGATACTTGCAAAATTTCTTTACAATTTATTTTCAAAAATAGGTTAAATAGATTATTAATTGCGCTAGTATGAGGGAGTTTATGGGCGGGCGCAAACTAAAAGCAAAATAATTTGTTTGAAACATTTTAATGTATTGATTAGTCACACAGTGAACAGCTTGAGGACATACGGGTTCTCGTGTGGTGACGTGGCATTGGATGCGTTTGGGTACGTGGGAGTGGACACTGGTGTGGATAAAGTGGAGTGTGGATAAAGTGGGGTGGACAGTGGGGTGTGGATAAAGTGGAGTGGACACTGGAGTGTGGATAAAGGGGAGTGGACACTGGAGTGTGGATAAAGTGGATTGGACACTGGAGTGTGGATAAAGGGGAGTGGACACTGGAGTGTGGATAAAGTGGATTGGACATTGTGGTGTGGATAAAGGGGAGTGGACACTGGAATGTGGATAAAGTGGAATGGACACTGGAGTGTGGATAAAGGGGAGTGGACACTGGAGTGTGGATAAAGGTGAGTGGACACTGGAGTGTGGATAAAGGGGAGTGGACACTGGAGTGTGGATAAAGAGGAGTGGACACTGGAGTGGACGATGAGAGGGCAGCACCCATGGGCCCCAATTTCTAGGGGCCCCACATTTTCTTTTATAAACTACAGAAAATTTCACTTTACAGCTTAATGTTTAAATATTTGAGTCACAAATTTATTTCATTTTTTTCAAATTATCAAACACGTGCAAACATTTTAGCATACATACCAGCTGTCATCACCTCCTGCTCAGAAATTGTTTACATTAACTCAGTTGGGAAAAGCGTTCGCTTATGTCAATAAAATGAGTTTAATGAAAAGTTTAAAAACACAAACAGAAGCAGAATTCTGACACATACGTTTAAGGCCGATAATTGACCCGGTAAAACTATTGCATAAAAAACGTTTCTATAACAAACTTTATATAATAATGCACGAAAAAAAAGGAAATAAATGCTTTCCTTTAAATATATAACAATACATTATTATTGAAATAACAAAAACTGATTACCAAACACACAAGTCATGGTCCTTTACAGATAGGTTTTTTGCAGAGGTCAGTGCAGAGCCTGACCGGGACGGCTAGTATATAGATCTATATGTGTATATATTGGGTCCCCAAAAAATTTTCCTCCACGGCCCGCTCAAATTTACTTAGCCTCTGTTATCTAGATCGGTGCCGTTAGCACTAAAATAAAAAAAAAAAAAAAAAAAACAATTTCGATTACTTAATCATTAGAACTAATATCCGATGTACGATAACTTGGTCGGCCTACGAAACTTTTTAAAGATTGTAATCTGTGTACATTGTGTACCACACCATACACAAGTATGTGTACTAATTCGTAGGCTTTTAAAATTGTAATGTGCATGTACATTTTTTGCTGGGTTGGTTGGGAGGGGGGGGGGGGGGAGGGGGAAGGGGAATGATAATTCTATGTTCAATAGCCTGAACGATTCGCTAACTGTTGATATTTAGTGCAAGTCCACAGCTAATATAAATATATATATATATATATAAACATATATATATATATATATATATATATATATACATATATATATATATATATATATATATATATATATATGTGTGTGTGTGTGTGTGTTTATATATATATATATATATATATATATATATATATATATATATATATATATATATATATATATATATATATATATATATACACAACGCAGCCTTATCTTAACAAGAATTTAAAAAACAAATTAATAAAAATGATTCATTGGTTTTTTTTCAAGTGAATCTAAAAAAAACCGGGGCAATTAACAAAACTAAGTTCACATACTCATGCTAATACTCGGGATCGTAGTGGCCACACCCCCTGGCGGTAGGAGTTCTGCCCCTTGCCTGGCTAAAACACTTTTTGGGACCAGATTGTATTTGCAGTGGAGTTATCTCCCATCTGCATTCATGTGCCGGGTCGCCAGATTTTACACGAGTTCCCACATTGACAATAAACGTTTTCCAAATCAGATGGAGAAAAAAAAAACATTGGACACGATTTGATGATTAAATTTGGTCTTGATTAATAAAAAGTTGAATCGAATTAAACAATATTGACGATTTAAAAGTTATAAAACGACTTTACGTTGCTTTTTGTTACACGTATATTATATATATATATATATATATATATATATATATATATATATATATATATATATATATATATATATATATATTCTTCTTAATCCCGTTCGAGCCTAAGACACATGGGGCAGATGAAGTAGTAGATTTCATCTGATTCATTGACCACGGCATATGAAGGGATAGTGTGGTCAGCACTATGCACACATATATGATAGTCCACACATATAGGCTACTGCATGTTGTTCTGTTGTATGTTAGAATCTAAAAAAAATATACACTTTTTCATTCGAATACAAAAAAAAATTAATTCAGCACCCATCAATACATCTTTTTGTTTTGAAAGGAAAATTAGGAAAATAAACACAGGTCGCAAAGTTCACTGAAGGCTCTTTGGTGATTCAATATTTGTTTAATAAGGATAGAGCAGGGGACGCAACTCGCCCGAGTAACGTAAACTGAATTGTCGTTCGCGAGCAAGTGAAAACTGTGTGGCATGTAACCAAATGCAAATTTTAGAGCCTGGGCTGAAAAATCGTTTCCGTGTTGGTGGCAGAGTTGCCGTACAGAGTTGCCACTTTGGAAAATTGGTAACCAAACGACTTCAGGTCTGGCAAAAATTTCCGCTACCCGGAATTGTGCCCGGCAAACGAAAAAATAAAAGCAGGTAAAAGAAAAGACATGAAGACTCGTCAGATAATGGGCGTGTTCAACAATGGACAGACACTAAAGATGGAGGAAAGTAAGGAACAGAGAAAACTGACCAAAAGGACGTAACTGAACACCTTTACTACTGGGAATAAACCGGGAGTGATCTCCCCTAAACTTTCTCGAATATTCTTATATAAAATAACAGGGGATGGGAACTCGGGCTATAGACATGATTTTTAATCCATTTTAAATACTTAAAGTTTTAAAAATAGAATAAAATCTCGTAGACAAATTAATTGCACACCAAGTGAACGCCAAATAAAAAAGCGCATAATAGTGTGCAATATTATTAGTACTTTTAAAATTTACATTAGTTTTTTGAGAAATCGGAAGTAGCGTAAATTACTACTTCCAGTCAACGGAAATTACTCAAAATTTTACATAATGTAGAGAATTAGATCTTTTACTTACATGTGAAATTTCATTTATCTATCTGAAATAGTACTCAAGTTATAGGCTTTTGAAAAATTCAAAGTAGAAAAAGTACCACTTCCGGTTATCGGAAATCGCTCAAAAGTTGAGACGGATCTACGATTTTGATAAAATACTTATATATGAAATTTCATCAACCTAGCTGTAACGGTACTCAAGTTATTGTGTTTACACACGGACACACAGTCACACAGTCACACAGACACACACACACACACAGACATACGGACAAGATTGCAAAATTATGTTTTTCCGTATCAGTGAGGTGTAAAACGTCGAGATCTGTAAAAATCTCGATTTTTTTTTTGCACGATTACAATACTTTCTCTATACTTCGTATATACGAGAAAGTAAAAATGGAGACAAATCTGAACATTCAACATAATTTTGAAAAAAATATTTTTAAATTACTGAATTAAAATGAAATCTTAATTAAATGGATTGAAATAGTATTATTTTTGAAAATGCCAAAATATAAACTGTATCACATGTCTTAATCGCATTTAGTATTCTTTCTCTTTTAAAATACATCCACAATATTCAGCCACTCTCTCCTGCCCTACCCCCTCTCTACCCCCACTCCGGACGCTTAAACAGTAAATTTTCCGCGATTAATGGGAGATACGTATTAAATATAAATTTAATTGTATTTTAAATCAATTATTGTTTAATTGTCTTTGTCTTTAAATGTTTCAGTCTTTTGACCCATCACAGTTCCCGTTTATTTTAGATCCTACCCTAGCATTTATTTGAAGCTTAATTTGTTTCACCAAATTTGTCGACTTCCTTTTAGATGAGTATCCTGATTTTAAGTATCGATACTAGAATAAAGTTGCGAGTCCAGTCACATTTGACGATACCATGGCGGTCTTTACAAGCGCTCACGTTGGGTCCAACTCACGTGGACGGAACGTGACAAAACGTGATCTGTCACGCACGTTCCTCGGCTAATTGGTAAACTCGACCGGTCTCGTGCTGGATGTTTTGTTGTCACTTGTTCGTTAACAGGTTTGTGGGAGAGGAGTGTGGGGGGGGGGGGAGGGGGGGGAGGGGAGGGGGTAGTGTTGTGGGGGTTAAAAGTGTGGGGTGTAGTGATGTAAGGGTTAGTGGTATGTGGAGGAGGGGGGGAATAGCGTTGTTGTTAATGTTGGGGTATATAGTTAATGGGGTTGGTGGTGTATGTGTAAGTGGGGTTTGGGGGGGGGGCGGTTAAAGATGTGGGGGGGGGTGTAGGGTCTAGTGATGTGAGGGCTAGTGGTGTGTGTGTGGTAGCGTTGTTGGGATTTGTGGGATCTAGGGTTGTTGGGGTTAACGGTGTGTGTGGGTTAGGGTTGTGTATGTGTGGGGGCTGCTATGTGTGAGGGTAGGGTTGTGGGGGGGGGGGGGCGGGGGCTATTTAAGTATGGAGGGGGGGGGGTTGGAGTGGGGGCTAGTGGTATCGGGCTTAGGTTGTGGGGGTTAGTTTTGTGGGGGTTAGTAGTGAGGGTTATTTGCCAGGGGTTTTCCGAGGGGGGTTCTGGTGTGGGGTTAACGTTGTGTGTGTGTGTGTGTGTGTGTAGGGGATGGGCGGTAGTATTGAGCTAAAGTAGTGGAGGTTAGGGTTGTGGGTTTAAGTGTTGTGTATGGGTGGGTTAGGGGTGTGGGAGTTAATGGTGTTGGGCTCAGGCTGAGGAGGTTAGGATTATGGGGTGGGGCTAAGTTAAAGGGGCTTGTGTGTGTGGGGGGGGGGGGTCTTTGATTGGATTGCAGTCACCCGCACTATCATTCAACTACACCATTTTGCCTTTAACGAAAAGAATTGATAGACTTACTCCAATAATGTTAAAGAACACCCCACCCTACGCTCCTCATTCTTTCTTTGTTCTTGGCTTTTCCTTTTTTTTCTTTGAGAAAAATATCCTTCCCATTTCAACATTTATTTTTAGCAGC